CCTTGTTATCTCAGACTCCAGAATTGCACTTGGACATGGTGTGAGGGAGAAAAGAAATCCTTTGAGGGCGCATGAAATGATTATGCTATTGAACTTATGACAGAGTGAAAACATTCCAGGGGCCACTTCATATTTATTTGTGTTCAATGCAGAAGAATCAGGAGTTTGGTTCAGGAAAACAGTTTTTACCCAAATAGAAGTCTCCAAACTGTGAGATTTTGTATCAAAGTTTTCAAGCTGTCAAAACTGAAAAGAAATTTCCTGAGGGACAATTTTGATGTACAGGGTGGTGTATATATGAAATGAGATGCCAGATGAAGTGATCGACGTGAGTACAATTACGACATTTAAAAGACATTTGTGCAGGTACACGGATAGGAAAGATTTGGAGGAATAAGAGCTAAATGTAGGCAAATGGGACTAGTTCAGTATAGGAAGCCTGTTTGGCATGGACAAGTTAGGCTCAAGAGTATGTTTCCATGCTGTATGACTCTATGCCTCATCAGAATTGAAAGGAGGGGCAGGTCAGCTGAACTGGAGAGACGTTGTGAAATTGTTTCAGCAGTCCAAGAAGGAGAGTTGGGAAAAAGAAACCCTAAACATCTATGTTCCTCCCTGGCTTGGCCTCATTGTTGAGGGACTAGACCGCTGACTGATTCCCATGCCACTCCCCAATTGACTTACTGTAAATCTCCAGACTGTTTGAACTGGACCCATTCTCCAGACTGAAGTAATTTCAGAGTCTCTGGCTCTGATTAATGCTTGCATCCAATTGACCATTCCAAAGTCCATGGACAGATATCAGACACTGCCCCTTATTTAATGTTCCCCCTGGTTGACGACAGTTCCCCTTAGACTTGAAACTGGAATATTTGGTTAAAGAGAAGTGTGTTTGGCATGTAAGCTGCTGATGTATGCTGCAGGTATGAGACTGACACAGCACCGTCTAGGTAGCCACATTCTACCCCCCTTGACTGATCATTGTTGGCAAACATGACAGGCTTCCTGGCTTTGTGTCTGTGCTAAAAGGCAA